TGCCTACGCCGTAGGTACGCAGTGCCTACGCACAGAGTACGTAACTATACGCCATCGTACGCAAGCCTACGCAGAACCTACGCAGGGACTACGCCGAAGCATCAATTTATTCATGAGTTCGCAGCTTAACTTCGGCGTAGTCATTACGCAACACTACGCAACTCTACGCAGATCCGGTGTGAAAGGGGCTTTAGAGATGAGCTCTTTGTAATGCCCATCCTTTGTCTGACAAGGAGTATAGCTAGGAGAAACCCATGACAAAAAGAATCAATTACGTACCTTTTCAATCTTTAGTGGCTCTGAGTTTTATTTTTTTAAAGTAAAGAAATTGATAGGTCGTAGTTGCTTTCAGAGATCAGAGCGATATTGCTTTACGTGGTATTTTTTGATGACAGAAGAGATAAAAACCGGGAAGTCATATCAGTTTTATTTTAATTACTATCTGGTTATCAGCGTCGTTCCAATGTATTTGTTGCATGTATTATAGAAGTGCTGGTGAAGTAAGGAAGTCATGACGGACGTAAAGAGTAAGGTATTCTTCTGGTTTTTATTCCTTACTGGATTACCAGGAAACACCATCACATTGGCCGCCTTTGCCATCAAGACGAAAAAGAAGAGTACGGACATTTTACTCATAATCCAGGCCTTGGTAGATCTGATTGCTTGTATCACCCCGCAGATAGATATGGTGAAGGGTATATCATCCTGCTTGGTCATCGTTATCGTTCGATTCACCCTATCTACGGCCTCTCTATTTCTAACATTCGCCATTGCTGTGGACAGGTATTTTACAGTCTGCAGACCATTTGGTCGTCATATGACCAAACCCCAAGCCGTAGTATTTGCAACAGCATGCATATCATTATCTTTCGCTCTCAACCTACCTACAATTTGGTATGTTACAGTCGTATACACCGAATCAACTGGCTGCATATTTACTAGTTTAGCATCACCTGCTCGGAAATTGGTTAAAGTATTACAGATCGCGTCGTTCTTTGTTGCGGCTGCCGTGAGTATGTACTCGTACCTTAAAGTATTCGCCTTGATACGCAGGCAAGCCCGCGTTAGATCCGAAATGAGTGCTGGTGGTACTACAAGGAATGCTGCCAACGCAACGTCTGTGTTGACAACCGTTTCCGCTTCAATTGCAGAACCTGTTCCAGGACACCAACACGCACGGAATGGTTATGTGGCACATTCAGCGACAACAGATAGGCGGTTAACCCTGATGCCCGACAACGGTGCAGTACATAATTCGGACTACCTACAAATACCCTCCTTTGGACATGATACACTCTTCAACGTTGGAAGTTGTGTTGAGACATCTTTCAACAACCATGACCACACGCCGTCATCAACGAATACCTTTCAAATTCAATCTCAAGGTAGCACTGACAACTCTCGACCTCAGAGGAGAATCCAGGGTGACAAAACCACTAAGATGCTTCTTGTTACTACCGTTTTTCTCATCCTGTCCTGGTTACCTTACATCCTAATCTCCGCTCTGCCGACCGAATTTTACATCAACCTTGTGACAAAGATCTCACAAGAAAACGTGTTATTGCTCTTTCGCCTCCGTGGCTTTAATAACATGATCAACGCCTTCGTGTACTGGGCCGTGAACCCCCTCTTCAGGCAAGACGTGAGGCAAGTTTTTATCCGTCTTAGGAACTTATTTTAGAGTAAACGGTAAAAATACGGATACAAGGGGGAGGGGAGATACATGACATCTACCTTCAGAAGAAGCCAGTTTGTGGCACGATCTAGTCATTGACTAGATCGTGGTTGACAACCACATTCCTTTATTAGGGAGCCTCCGTTCTGGAGGGACCCCGAGTGAGATTCGATTTTCGATAATATTAAAGATATTTTGCATCTCAAAAGCGTATTTTTGATGTTAGAGAAAAAGCTACGTCCTTTACTACACACACACACATACACACACCCTCCTCGCCCAAAGGACGGATGCTTATTGATGAGCAACGCCACGCATTCGTAGATTATTAGTAATCGTAGGAGGATCGTATAGTGTGTGCTGGGAATGTTTGATGTACATGTTGCAGGTTGTTTGATCTCAGATATACATACATGGGGGTGGCTGATTTGTTACTTTGAGAGCAATTAAAGATCTTGATGTGTTCTTTTTAATTAGAAATTTTTCCCTTTACGCTTTACATCGCACAATGTGAGTTTATGTCAAACATGATCGCAAAGGCTTCAGAAAAGAAAATTTAAATAAAGGCAATTTCATTACCCTTGTCAACTGCCCATTGAAACGTAAGAACTTGATTATGTCCTATTACGTTATCCTAACATTGGATATACAATATGTTATTGACATTGCATTCGTTGATTTTGCAACGGTATAAGGGATTGTCCTGTAAAAATATTAAATCAAAATAAATAAAAAATATGGTGATGTTTTCCAGGGAAGCCGTATCACCACCATCAATCTTTACAAGAGCCATGCAAGATCACCTTTGGAATACAGGAAACAAGTTCATATTGTCATTTTGCTATCTAGGCAAGCACCATCGATTTGAAATGCGGTGATTTTAATTGGTAAAATATACATGTATTTGCATTAGCCAATTTAATTTTTGTTTTCATGGAGAAAAAAAAATCGCCCACTTTCTTATCTTGGGGTTTTAAATGAGTTTTTGAGAGAATGTGTAGTAGTTTTTTTCAACGCAAATGATGATCAGGAATACTGAGTTATTGGATGTTAATGGAGGATGTGATGTGTATGTAAATTGGATCAGAAATCAAATATGCAAGCGGCACTAAAACATTGTGGTATTAGGAAGAAAAGAAATCTGGAGAAAATTGTAAGGTTTTCGATCCAACTGATCGGGTGAGCGAAAAGATGCATATAAAGACAAATTGTTTAAAGATACTATGTCCCTTTTTCAGCCAACATTAAATTCTGGAGAAATTTGTAGGAATTATGAATATGCATGTCCTATCTGTGAAATTTAAACGTTAGCAGTGTCCTAATAGTTAAATTATGCAAGGAAAACCGTTTACTTGCTAGATTTCACTGTCAGACACTGTTGAGTGACTGACTGGCTTTTTTCTTCTAATAGTAATAACATTCATAAAATGAGCTGTAAACTGGGGTTCATGAGCATTTGTCTACATCAATAACCCACTTCTTGTAATGCCCAAAATTAAACTGAATGAATATTTGCGCAGCATAAAAGGTACGACCATTCAGTACAATAGTCTGAAAATCAGACTATTACTTACTGGCTCTATAGCTCTTAAGTCGATTAGACAACTAATAGTCGTTATTTTCCCACTTAAAGATATTTTCAAGCCTCCTTTTTTTGGGGGGGGGGGGGAGAGTTCTAAATTAGTATTATCTTTCAAATGCCGTTGGAATTTAACCTTTTCTTTTTTTGGGCCTGCAAATGGGACATAGTACATTTAAAGGTGATTCGTACTAGGTCCCCATTTCTCTCCTGGGTATGGAGTGGCAAATTCACTGCTAAATAACATTAGTGCCGTGTCGGGGATCGAATCTAGACCTTCGGATTTGCAGAGGGGCTTTGTGCTTCTAGGAGATGAGGATCGTTGAGATAATGCATTAAACACATTAAACGATGTACGCTGCTTATGCCGGGAAATATATAAAAGTAAGCACATTTACACAAACCAAACACTATTTAGAAAAATCGTCGATTTTTTTTTTTTTGGGGGGGGGGGGCCTACCTTTTATACTACTGGAAAAACCCATACAAACCTTTAAAGTTTGCTCATACTTATTTTTTAGAGAGAAGCATGCATGAGGCCGGGACTCTTCTGTGCCCCGCATTCGTTATCACGGTACCGAGAATAGTCACCTGCTATAGGTATCTTTAATACCGAAGTTTGCATATACATTGCAATAATTGGTGAAACTTCGGAGTTGGATTTTTCGATTTCGTCTATAAAGCGTCGTTTTTGACGATGAAATTCCAGAATGTGAGAAAAATCGATGTGGAATCAAAGATTACAGCTTAAACGGCTGATCTTTGATATAAACAAAAGGAAAGGACTGAAACTCTTTCTGAAAATCAAATTGAGGAAAAATAAGAGGATTTTAGTACTTACATCACGTAACAAGCAAAAGCACAACAGGCCAATTCAATAATATTTCAAAGATAAAACGTATCTATTCATAAAATTTTGCTACATGTATGCATGGTCAATTTATTGTTGGTATAATCCTTGATCGGGCGGCATCCTTATTCTACAAACGTCAGAAGGCGATTCAACGATGCAGATAGAAAGAGAGAGAGAGAGAGAGAGAGAGAAATAGAGAAAGAAAGAGAGAGAGATAGAGAAAGACAGACAACCAAAAAGAGACAGGGATAGAATAATAGAACAGTATAAAATGAAAATAGATAAAAGAGAGGAAGAAAAAGGAAATAGAAAGAGCACTTTAGTTGCTTAAGAACCATTTCATTATTGAATTTCTTAGCTGTTCAGTCACGTTACAAAGTCTCTCGCTTCCCTGTTCAAAGGGGCGCCTTTATTGATTTTATTTTCATTTACCCGAAAGGTCGACATTTCAGGCAGAATCTCACCACGACGTCGGCAGAGTTAATAAAGAAGGAGTTGCCGGATTCATTGCATCTATATTTCAACCTTGTTCCAATAAGCCAGGTAATATCTGAATCACAGTATCCCTCTTAAGGACTGGAGTGACATTTTACTATTCGGAACTCACCCGAAATTGATCGTTTTGTACTATTACATGAAATGTAAACCACTTGATTCTTAATTTTAGTAGCTGAGGTTGCCTGGTGATTCTATTGTCAGGCTCAAACGTTCCGCAGCTCACCTGAAGAATATCTTTAAAAGCTTTGCTACAGCATATCTATTTTGTATTTAATTTTAAAAAGGCCTATCGAAGAAGTGTATCCCAGGGGCTCACCATTATCACAAAGATCCCTGTATAACTCGCACAGCATAAAGCTGTTTCCCAAACTTGTATACAAATTACCAGCTTCGGGATGGATGTGGGAAGTGTGGCCATCTTCTGTGTAATTTTCATCACCGGTTTTCCAGGAAACACCATTATCCTGGCAGCATATGCCATTAAACCGCAAAAGAAGAGCACGGACCTATTGATTATAATCCAAGCTTTGGTAGATCTGATTGCTTGTATCACCCCTCAGCCTGAGATGATCAGTGGAGTGGCCATCTGCTGGATAACTCTAATTATCCGTCTCTCAACATCGCTTGGTTCTCTCTTCTTGACATTCGTCATTGCTGTTGACCGGTATGTTACAGTCTGCAGACCTTTTGGTCGTCATCTGACGAAAACCCAAGCCGTTGCCCTAGCGATAGCAAGTCTGGCATTCTCCCTCCTCGTCAATCTTACAACACTTGGGTACTTCAAAGTCATAGACGTTAAATCGGCGGGTTGCATTTGGTCTGTTTCCGCGTCTTCACTACAGATTTCTATGAAGGTAGTCCAAACCGTCTTGTTCTTTGTTGCGGTGGTCGTAATCATGTTTTCTTACACTAAAATATTCATATTGATACGTCGGCAAGCCAGGGTCAGATCTGAAATGGATGCCGGTCTTGCAAGCCACACCGGTGCCACAATGAATTCTGACATTGGAACCATTTCTGAGTCTGTAACGGCATCTGATAGAGGTTCCAGGAAGGCATTGACAAATCAAATTGCACCAACAGCAAACAGGCAGTCCTCCCTGATAGATGAAAGCAGCGGAGTTCACAATCCGGGTTATCTAGAAGTACCATCCTCTAGACCTTGTGGTGAACCTTCCAACTATGGACGTGCGCTCACCAACCCTCCCGAAGGATACGTTGCCGAGAGGGATGGACCGCCTTCAACCAGCATGGAGATATCTGCTACTCAAAGTTCCTCTGCAGCCGTTGGACACCCGAGTCAGCCTGGAGAAAACAGCGGATACAATAGACCTACCAGAAGGGTCCATGGCGACCGGACCACTAAAATGCTTCTTTTTATCACCGTAGTTCTCATCATGTCCTGGATACCGTACGTCCTCATCTTTGCTCTCCCTGCTCACGCTTACATCTACCTCGTGACAAGAATCACAAGCCATCATGTTGTCTACTCATTGGCTCGTATCAGAGGCTTTAATCACATGATCAACGGCTTCGTCTACTGGGCCGTGAATCCTGTCTTCAGACAAGACATGAAGCAAGTTTTCATTCGTCTTAGGAAGTTGACAAACCGATAAAGATACAGAGGGTTTTGTTCCCCCTTTCTTAAGTGATGGGGGGGGGGGGGGGGTTCAGCCCACTATTGAGGCCTCCTGGCTAATCCAATTACAACAAATACGATGTATTAACGCTAGGCTACAACGAAGATTAATATCAAGCAATGACTTTGTTTGTTAAAACAATTTTGGCTGGACAACCATGGTATTAATTAATAAAAGTGTACAAATTTAGCACATGCAGATTTATATCCCTACATATTTTCCAGTGCTTTTACATGTGTGTTCAATTAAGAGATTCTATTTTGAATATAGAATTTAGTATTAAAAAAAGGAGCTCTGAACCAGCGCGGCTGAATGTATTTTGTATTAAAGCTGCGCTATAGAAACGTATTATTATTATTATAATTTAAGGATTTGGAGTATGTTTAGAGAGCTATTCTGCATCGATGTTATTGGTCGTTCCTTCTGATGAAAAAAGAATGGTCCAGATTTTAACAATGACAGACCACGAGTATATTAAAAGCATGGGTATGATGACGGTGAATGTAAATACTAAGTGGAAGATCAGCCTTGTGCTAAACACGGAAGTAAATAAACTCTATTACTACTAATACTACTACAACTCGTACTACTAGTACTACTATTCTGCTTTACAAGTACTTCTTCTCCTCCTCCTTATCCTACTACTACTACTACTACTACTACTACTACTGTTCCAACTGCTACTATTACTACTACTACTACTACTACTACTACTACTACTACTACTACTACTACTATTACTACTACCTCTTCTTCTACTACTAGTACTCAGGGGCGTCGCGGCTAGACCTTTTTCAGTAGGGGGTGTAGAGGTCACCGATTATCCACACAACTAGCCACCAATTACCGACAAATATATTAATGCCAATGTCACAATGTCTACACAATACCCTATGAACCCGGGGTCGGGGGCTAAATTATCTAAACTATCTGTCCTTGCGTATGCGCACATGGTTATTTTCTTCGACCACATAAATATATATATTCTTTTCTTCTCTTCTCTTACCTTTCTTTTCCTTTCTTTCCTTTTTTTCCCTTTTCTTTCCCTTCCCTTTTTCTCATATTCCCTGACGGCGGCGCAATTTTACCAACAATATCCTGACACTTCTACTACTACTTCTACCGGATGTACGACATGTGATGTATATATAATATCATGTATATAAATTATGACGATGACAACAAATTAAGGCAGAAGCCGGTTTTAATGAAACATGTGGAATCTTTTTTATAATCTGTACAAAGTTCCATATCGAAGTGCTGGTCGAACACTAAAGATAACAACAATTATAACTTCAAAAGCTGTGTCCTGAGGTATAATTTTTATTTCAATTGTTTTGTTTATAGTTCCATATATTAAAGTGCTGGTCAAACATCAAAGATAAGATGTCTCCTGAGGTATAATCTTTATTTTAATAATTCTTTAAGGGGAAATTTGTTGCCACTCACTATCATAAACAAAAGAATATTCGGCGACGATTATCTAGGACTAATTGCATTTTCATTAAAATCTCAACTAATTAATCAGGAAGCATGTTTCCTAGGAACCTTTGAACCCTCGAGCAAATGTCAATAAACGCTTTACACTGCATATATATATATATATCGCAAAGCAAGATAGTTCTCATATGATAATCCCACAGCATTAATCATGTTAATCATTTTTGATAAAGTCACAGTTCAATATTCAACAAACACAACAGTGAAGAATAATTATCCCCCATCCCAAACAAAAAAAGAAGAAGCCCTGCCCATCTTCATACTGTTTTGATTTGATTTTGAAAAAGACGCCTTTCTAAACAACCCCTAAATCTAATTGCAGAGACAATTCAATTCTGGTTGAGTGTTTCGTGCATATTCATCTAGGAATAATAATGCGTACCTACTCGTGTACGACTCTTTCTTAAAATTCGCAGATGCAGCATTTTCAGAAACATATTACTTTACATCAAAATAAAGCAATCAAAATTTGACAATAGTCGTATTTAATGTGTGTGAAAATAAACGTGTTATTACAGTCCTCAGAGGTACGTTTCGTACAAAGTGTTGTCGTTTTTAATATTGTACCAGGTATAGATTCACAATTTTTTTTTTTTACTGATGTATATTCTACATTCAATTCAATTCAATTTAGAATTTATTCCATCTCGTCAAAAAGTCCTTTGACTAAAAATGCGAGCATTATTCATCATACATGTACATATAATTATATAAAAACGCATTACAACAAATATAAAGACAAAGAAGACAATAAGAAAAAATACCAAAGGTAAATAAATGTTAACATCAAAACATAAAGCATTTACAACAAAATATTCACAAACAGTATATTGCTAGGTGAGTGTATAATTAACATAAAGTAATTTAAAAACGAACGCATAGTCTTATGGAAAAATTTAGAAATTCATACATTAACTTGATTACATGATACATGTAAAATCTGCGATAAAATGAAATACAAATTCCATTCAGATGACATAATAAGTATTAACAGGTATTAAAAGAAAATTATTGAAATTGGAGCCTTGGTAGTGTGCTAATCACAAGTGTGACATGAGTATAGTACATGTATAGACATAGTGCAAATAAAGAAAATTGGAAACCTTTAGGTATTGTTGGTCACAGTAAGAATAGCAGATAATTAATGAATGTTGTACTAACAAATATCACCAGAAGAGCAAGAAGTGGAGAGGAGAAGGGAAAGACTAAGAGAGAGAGAGAGATAAAGATAGAAAGAGAGAGAGAGAGAGAGAGCGAGCGACGAGAGAGATAAAGATAGAGGGGATGGAGTGAAAAGTAAATGGAGAGGAATGACCAGAAATAAAGAAGAGAAAGATAAACTTAAAAAGTAACAAGTTTAAATAGAGAAAAGGGATAAGAAGTGAGAGGAAGGATAAAAGTACATGCAATATAAAAAGAAGAATGAATGGAAGAACCTGCTATGCCAATAATCATGACAGTTAATACTGCACATAATTATATTGCTGAAATACATGTCAATATGACAGAGAGAATTAGTAATAATATAATAATTACAGTGCTTATACAGCGCCTAACACTTACTTTGTCAGAAGTCTCTAAGCGCTCTACAATGATGCAGCATAATTACTTAGAGAATTGACAATTTCATTTAAACTGTCGCTCATATAGTTGGAATATTTTGATTTTACCCCAATTTATGGAATTATTTTGACAATAAATTATTCCTAATAGATCTAGATTCTCATTCTCAGATTTTATTAAATAATAATTTGTCAGTGTTGGTTTTGCGTGACTGCTAAAGCATGTGTCTGCTACTATGCTTATCAACTAGGGGACCTACGCCCTTAAGTCATAAATGACAGTAATGAGGATTAATGCCCCACAAAAGGGCACTAATATAGCACATCGACACAGTGTTGATCCTGGGGCCTCACAGTTACGAGGCCATTGCTTTGCCACTGAACCATGACTGTACGCAGCGGGGGCGTTATTTTCTTCTGCGGCACAGATTGGGGCTTTCAAAAAAAAAAGGGGGGGGGGGGGGTTGATTTAACCCTAACCCTAACCCTAAACTTTTTCATAGGCTTCACACGCACCTAACCCCAATCTGTGCCGCCGAAAAAAATAACGCCAGCGGGGGCTAGTGTAGGGGGCAGTTTCCACAAATATAAAAAACAAAGAAAATGCAATAAATTATCAATAATTCATTGAATTTCCCCCCCGGTCCCCAACAGAAACAAAATCTTCTGTGTGCCCAATCCTTGAGTAAACGAAGAAGAAAAGAAAGGGAGAAATTAGGAGGTAGAAAGAGAGAGAGAGAGAGAGGGGGGGGGGAGGAGGGGTCCAGAGGTGGTGGCACGAGTTATGTAAAATAGCAGAAGAAATATGAAGAAATCAAACAACTCGAATCATAATTATAATAAAGCCTTGGTATTGTGTTGAAGTAAGGCACTTTGCTAATGCAATGTGCTGCATTTAAATTGGCAGCTATGGCACATAAATGGTTGAAGGAAACACATTCCCTGGCCTAAGAAAATGAAAATGAGTAAGAGATGAGCTCTTTGTGATGCACATCCTTTGTCTCACAAGGAGTACAGCTAGGAAAAACCCAGAACAAAAGGAATCAATTACGTACCTTTTCAATCTTTAGTAGCTCAGAGTTTTATTTTGTTCAAGTAAAGAAATTGATAGGTCGTAGATGCATTCAGAGATAAGAGCGATACTGCTTTACGTAATATTTTCTGCTGACACGAGAGATAAAAACCAAGAAGCCCGATCAATTTTATTTTAATTTCTATCTGGTTATCAGCATCGTTCCAGTGTATTTGTTGCATGTCTTATAGAAGTGCTAGTGAAGTACGGACGTCGTGATGGATGTAAAGAGTAAGGTATTCTTCTGGTTTTTATTCCTTACTGGATTACCAGGAAACACCATCACATTGGCCGCCTTTGCCATCAAGACGAAAAAGAAGAGTACGGACATTTTACTCATAATCCAGGCCTTGGTAGATCTGATTGCTTGTATCACCCCACATACAGAGATGGTGAAGGGTGTATCACCCTGCTTGGTAATTGTTATCGTCCGATTAACCCTATATATGGCCTCTCTATTTCTAACATTCGCCATTGCTGTGGACAGGTATTTTACAGTCTGCAGACCATTTGGTCGTCATATGACCAAACCCCAAGCCGTAGTATTTGCAACAGCATGCATATTATTAGCTTTCGTTCTCAATGTACCTACAATTTGGTATGTTACAGTCGTATACACCGAATCAACTGGCTGCATATTTATCTTTTTATCAACACCTTTGCGGAAGTTGGTGAAAGTATTACAGATCTCGTCGTTCTTTGTTGCTTCTGCTGTGAGTATGTACTCGTATCTTAAAGTATTCGCCTTGATACGCAGGCAAGCCCGCGTTAGATCCGAAATGAGTGCTGGTGGTACGACAAGGAATGCTGCCAACGCACCGTCTGTGTTGACAACCGTTTCC